CTAACTTCATCCAGAGTCACCCACTCACACACTCGGGAGGAAGGCACGGCACTTCCGCAGTGAGACGGTAAACTGGATAACCAGCCCACATTCCCCAGGCTGCAGGGCGATCTGTGTTGCTGTTTTGCCCGCCCAGCACAAAGAGCTGTCAAGCCTTCGTGCCAGTGTTTCAGTATGTGACATAACCAAGTTTGGCAGAGAGAAAAAAAATATAGATATATCCCCTTTCTGCTCTTATCTTAAAAGGCACACTGTACTCAATCACATATACATATTTTTTCCTGATCTGTACTGTTATTTATTAGATTTTGAAGAAATTGGCCTTCTCTTGAATGTGATGTAACTAAAAGGATCTTGACTTGTAGCGCTCAAAGTGCCAAAACTGAATAAATTAATAAGGAAGAACTATTGTCTTCCTGCTGTTTACATCTGCCAATAAAAACAACAGCGTAACTAGCCAACACTATCACTAGCATCAGCCTCTTATCACAGGGAGATGATGGATGCTTTTCTACCTTTTGTGCAGTGATGCGGTTGGCTGCAACTCTCAACAAAGCAATGGATAAATAGCATAACAGGCCAGGAAAAACATGCCTATTCAGCGATAACGGTGATGGAGCTGGTGAAATACCTTGTATTCCGTATAGTCTGTTGAGCCGCGATCGCCGAGCCTCATCTGAATAAGGCACTGCCAACCATGGCATCTCGCTGAAGTACTGCTTAAAGGACTCCTCTGACCTGAGCGGGGTGGAGGGGAGAACCGAACAGGAAGACAACAGATGCTGATTTCTTGGTTTTAATAACAACAAGTAAGCAGGGACCCAGTTGGGTTCTTAACAGGCAAAAGGCAGGTGCAGTGTCGCTCACCTGTCGGCGCTGACGAACACTATCTCAAACTTCTGGCCCGACTCTTTGACGGTCCGATACGATTCCACCAACACACGAGTCAAACTGCGGCACGGTGGGCACTGAGAGAGAGCGAACGAGTGAACATCTAATATACACAGTCACAAGTGTAATAAGGTGCTCATTTCCCAGGGTTTTTCCCCAAAACTATTTTCCTCTCTGCCGCCAAACACCTTTCCACAAACTAGTAATTCTGTCTTGTTTTGTATCCAGGCTGTTTAAAACGTTAATCCCGAGGAATACTCGAGCTTAAGAAAGTATTTGCTCTACTATGTGTTTAGAGCGCCAACGCTATCCAGGCAAGGGGGAGCGGTGGTATGGCTGGCATTACGATGACATCAGAGCACCATGACAGTGAGAAGCAAAACAGACTAGTCTCAACTTCCAGCCTCTTTCCCATGCTCTGTTTGCTTCATATCTGTATTTTCTTTGTTTTCTCTGCTGTGAATACATAATAAAATAGAAACGTAATATTTAAATCAGCTTGAACAGTTACAAAATGCATGCCACATGTTTGCATGGAGTGAAACTGAGGTTAAAATGATTTCAGGGACAATAGATTTTCTTCTCTTCTCTCAAACTGTACTTGTTTAAACATTGATTAGCCGATGAACGATAAGTAATTCAATTAATGAATGCAGACTGCTTCAGCTAAGAAGCACAAGGACAGAAAGTACCAAAATACACATACATATACACTCATCACCAAGTACACCTGTTCAACTTCTCAGTAACACAAATATCAAATCATACAATCACATGTCAGCAGCTTTGTGCATTTAGGAATGTAAACATGCTTAAGACAACCTCTTGAAATTCAAGCTGAGCATCAGAATGAGGAAGAGAGGTGACTTTGAATATGGCACGGTTGTCAGTGCCAGATAGGCTGGCCTGAATATTTTAGAAACTGCTGATCTGCTGGGACTTTCCCACAAACGCCTTGTTGATGTCAAAGGTCAGAGGAGAATAGCCAGATTGCTTTCAACTGATAGGAAGGCAACAGTACACTCAAATAACCGCTGGTTCTAAAAACGGTATGCAGAAGAACATCTCTGAAAGCACAACACATAAAAACTTTGAAGCTGGCTGAACAAAATTAGACAGCAGAATATCGGAAAAAATGTTGTCTGGTCTGACGAGTTTCCAATTCTGCTGCAATATTCAGATGTTATGGTCAGAATTTGGCATTAAAAACAAAACAAATCAGGAAAGCATGGATCCATCCTGCCTTGCATCAATGATTCAGGCTGCTATCATGGTGTGGGGATATTTTCTTGCCACACTACGCATCATTTAACATCCACAGCCTACCTGAGTATTATTGCTGACCATAATCATCCCTTTATGATCACAGTATACCCATTTTACAATGGCTGGAGACTAATGTCTCAACATTAGTCTCTAACATCTCAAACTTGTTTCTTGAACATGAAAATAAGCTCACTGTACAGTACTCTAAAAGCCTCCACAGTCAACAAATCTTAATGCAGTTATGTGCAGTACTATCATGGCTGTCCAGGCAACAAATCTGCAGCAACTGTGTGATGCTCTTGTATCAAAACGGACAAAGGCGACCATTTTCCACAAAAAGGCTGAATGCACTGGCCCAACTTCGACTCTAGCCTGGAGCCTTTGCTCTGTGTCTGCACCACTCTCCTGCTTTCTCCACTGTCCTGTCTAATAATGGCAAAAATGCCCCAAAATAATTTCTCAAAAATGCCAGATTTATTGCTTGTGTCACAGTGACTAAATCTTTAACATACACACAGTAAGCACATTCCCTGTAAATATGGATTAATGCCATAGCTGCTTCAGTTTCCTTCCCTGTAAATATGTTGAGGTATTTTTGCTAGACTTAATTACATATCATATGTCTAAGGCTCATCTCATCTTCCTGTTTACTAAGTAGAGAAGCTTAAAGCTTCCTACAGTGGCACTTCATCATATCAACACAAAGGGACGTTGGGACAAAAGCACAAAGTATCTTGTGTAGTAAGTGCGATCTTCCCTTATACCTTACAGATATAAACACTGTATAAGTGTGTTCATCGCTCATTACACAAGCTTGTTTTAGTACTATCGTGATAACACTAAAGTTTTCTCCCACTACAAGAGAAGGTCACGCTGCATGTGTCTCTGCCATGGGGCATTTAGGTCCCTCTGACAGGAAGGAGGGAAATAAAGTAAAGAAAATATACTATCAGGATGCCAAGGCAAAGTGCTGGCATTTCGTTTTTGTGAGACTGCTTTAGTAGCAGATAGATTTACACGAGTAACCAGGGGACCCTGGTGTAAAACACCGCAAATAAACTCCTGTAATTGCTTTCTGTGACTTGTCCTTTCAGTTTTATATGGCTTTGGGGTTTGCGCCAGCATTCAGGCGTCACCATTCTGAGCAGCCGGTATCTGAGGCTACGGCTCTGGCAGCTGCTGCGCCGACTGGCCTCGGCAGCTCGCGCTGCATCTCATCAGGAACAGCGCAGCGATGGTTTAACGCCTTCCATGCATCGTGAGTCATGACCTTCGCTGGCTATCGGCAGCGGCAGCAAAGAAAAGAAACAACGGTGTGACGTCTTTGGGGTGTGGTGACTGATCCACAGTTGGTGGTGAAAGGACTGATGGAGATCGTCAACTGCTGTAATGTAAACAGTCAAACACAATGGAGTCTCGCTCCTCTCTCTTATCTGTTCCTGCCTCTTCCTGCTCTGCTGTGCTGCTGCCGCTCTTTTTTCTCTGATGTCTCAATGTTTTCACAGAGTCAGGAGCCCTGAATAGGAAAAAAAAAGAAAAGAAAAAAAGATGGGGTCCTCTTTGTCTTCTCTCCACTCACCCAGTGTGCTGAGAAATACACTCCCACATAGTGTCCCTCCAGAGAGCTGCTGTCTGTTGTCTGTCTGTTGTTCCTGAGCAGAGGTCCTGCCACCACCTCCGCAAATGGCTTCGGGCCCCAGGGGAACTCCAGGCCTGAGAGAGGGTAGGAAAGCAGAGGGGGGCAAAGAAAGGGGAAACATGGGAAGGAAAACGAGAGATTATTGCCATGCTAGCGGCTCTAAGAGTTGCTGCGTGGCACTGATTTGAGCTAAATGCCAGTATTTTGTTCCATACCAGTGGAGCAAGTGCAACAGAAGATGATGACGCTGTGTTTTCATAGGTATTTGGCTGCATTCATTATTAATAACATGACAAATTGTCCACTGTTGCACAAAGCTTTAACTCACACTTAAAACTACTATAACTCACAGTGACACTGTTAGAATTTCATGTCTGGGAATCATGAATATTTACAAAACATCACGGTAATCCATCTAACAGCTGCTTAGATACTGAAATGTGGACTCAAGAGTCACACTTCAGCTCAGCAGAAGACCCACAGACAGCTTTTCTGTGTCCGTTAAGGGTGTCACATGTCAAACCACCACACACAGTTGTCATTGAAATATGTTTTTAAAGGGCTGTTTTGTGTTTTCTGCTTTGAAAATATGCACGCATGTGAACACACACACACACACACACACACACACACACACAGTTAAAGAAAAAGAAATGTCGAACCTCTTAAGCAAATGAAGGCTGTCAGAAATACTTCCCTCCTGCTCTCTTTCACACTTTTCATTTCCTTTTCAAGGTGTTTTCATTGTTCCCGGAGAGCTCTGGAGATGCATTTGGTACAGCTGAATTAAAGGGGGGGTGTAATCATAAATAAAAGCTTGTATGGCTGGTTCATAATGGACTCTTTATGTGAGCGCTGTTGTCCGGGGCTTCATTAGGCAGGAACGACACGTCTGCACTGCGCTGGCGCGGCCTTTCATTGTTGTCCTGATTGTAAAAGTGCACTCCATCTTTACGCTGCAGGGCTAGTCTGCCACCACTCAAGTCAGGCCTTTCATCGACAGTGAAAGGCAGTGGGGTCCCAAATTGTTCACCCGCCCCTCCGACTGTCAGCGTACGCGAACTTTTTGCTGCCCTTTACCTCTCCCAGCCGTGGCTGTTGCACCTGAATTGATTTGTCACATTAGGAACCGTCCACAGCTTAATACATCAAATTTAAAAATCTGATGTTTAAAAGAAAGAAAGAAAAAAAAAAAAAAAAAAAAAAGCACAGCCTTTTATTTCAAAGAGATGCAAAACTTCCTGAAGTGCTGGTGGCTCTCTTTGCTACTGAAGCCACCAATTTAATATCTTCTCAGCTCACATCTAGTTAATGAACTGTGGAAATATCACTGCAGGCCTGGACCAGCTTTCATTAGACAGACAGTGAAATCTGTCACAGTCCGCACATGGCTGCTATTCTTCCCTCTCACATGACACGACACCATTTTTTTTTTTTTAAAGCTGACCTAACAGGCTTTGAAGAGGCAGCGTTTTAAAATATTGAGATCGTCTCAGCCACAGATGGACGCCCTCAATACAGGAAAGGAATGCAAGATCACTCTTGTTAATTCTCCATCTCCACTTCAAAGTGCAGAAATTATAGGTTTCAAAGACGAGAGTGTGAGACATGGACACGCTATAATATTCACACGGCACCATAATTATAGCGGCATTAACTCAAACACGA